CCTGTTTGCTTCAGTGCATGGCAGCCGGCCGCCATCTTGGCTGACAGTTAATTTGCATAAGGATATGCTGATTAGCCAATGGGAAGGGTAGCGGTCGTACGCTAATTACCATGTTTCTCTTTTATTAGTGTAGATCCATTATTACCCTTTGAATTTCCCCCCATCTTATCCTGTAAGTGACTCAAAGTATCTTTTTGATATACATAGAAAAACCCTAAGTTTCCCATTAGTCTGGAATCAAGAATTTAGAAGTTGAGCGTGTAATTCTTTGTTTCTATCGCCTTTTCAGGTTCTACAAGTCTCTTACTATTTCTGTGAACTCTTTGATATCTTTCCAATAAATTCCTTTTCTAACCAGAGTTAGTTTCTTGTGCTTGCAACTAAGAACTTAGTCAGTTAAAGACATTAGTATTAAGAGATGGATGTAGAAAACAGAACCACATGAACTTGTGAAAATAATAAATGGTTTTAGGTGAGTTGGAGGTAACTCAGGTTTCATTAATTTTCAAAATACTAATGAATTTTCAAAATGTCCTTCAAACTTTAAAGATAGTGACAATAGATTCTCCACATACTCAGTGAGAACTTTGTTCTAGTGAACATAGGTAATAATGTAGTGATTTTGAAAATGAATTAGCATTTTGAAAATTAATGAGACCTGAGTCTTCAACTGTTTTCATTTTTGGTACAAACAAAAGAAACCAGCTCGCCTGGCCAGCGTGGCTCAGTGGTTGAGCGTGGATCTATGAACCAGGAGCTCAAGGTTCAATTCCTGGTCAGGGCACATGCCGGGTTGCAGGCTCCATCCCCAGTGTGGGGCATGCAGGAAGCAGCTGATCAGTGATTCTCTCTAAACATTGATGTTTCTATCTCTCTCTCCCTCTCCTTTCCTCTCTGAAATCAATTTAAAAAAAGAAAGAAAGAAAGAAAGAAAAAGAAACCAGCTTGGGTTGGAAAAGGAATTTATTAGAAGGGTATTGAAGGACTCACAGAAACAATTAAGAGTCTTGATTGTCCTGAGGAAGTCATGGGTAGGAACCAAGGCAAATCTGGAGAGGCAAGAGCAAGAAGTCCAGCCATCATCTGTTTATCAGGATAAGTTTGGTCATAATGCCAACAATTCTTACTGCTACCTTTCAGGACAGCATTGCCACCAGACACTGATAGGCCACTACTGTCACTAGAAACCATTCTAGCTGCCATGAATAAATTCTAAGCACTTCTTTGTCTTTGTGTCATTCTCTTCACAATCAGAGTCTTGAGTAGAAGCAGAGTCTAAGTCATACAGTGTGCTGGCTACTGGACTTTCATAGAATGAGAGAGGTCTTCTATAAAGAGAGTCCAGGCATTATGTAGGGGGCTGGCCATTTCTATAATGGGAGTGATAGTCCTTTAACCCATTTACATGCAATGTGGAAGTCATTCTTTCCAATTTGTATGCCTTTTCTTTCTTTTTTCTTGCTTAATGGCATTCACTAGGACCTCCAATACCATGTTTAATAGTGCTGGTGAGAGTGAACACCCTTGTCTTCTTCCTAATCCAGAGGAAAGTTAATTTAGTCTTTCCCCACTGAGTTTGGCATTAGCTGTAATTGAGGATGTTCTTCTTCATTACTCATTTGCTGAGAGTTTTGATCATGGATAGATTTCATCAAATGCTGTTTCTGCATCTTTTGAGAGGATTGTATATGTTTTCCTCATTATTTGCTAATATGACTAATTATGTTGATTGACTTTTAATGTTGGACAAATCTTGAATTATGTGGTCATGATGTATTATGCTTTTTATATATTACTGAATTCTGTTTGCTAATATTTTATCAGAATTTTAAGTCTGTGGGATTTAAAATTTAAAAGCTTGCTCAAAATTTAAAAAGTTATTCATGACGGATATTGATCTAATGTATTCTTTGTCTGATTTTGGCATTGAGGTAATGCTAACTTCATGAAACTAGTTGGAAAGTATTTTGTTTTGTTCTATATTTGAAAGCTTGTGTGGAATTGGTATTAATTTTTTCTTAAATACTTGGTAGCATTCATCAGTAAAGCCATTTGGGCCTGGAGTTTTCTTTGTAAGAAGGTTTTAAATAGGTATAGGAATATTTAGATATGGGTTTCTGCTTGAATAATCTTACAGTTTGTGTCTTTCATGGAGTTGATCCATTTCATCCAAGATGTTGAATTTATTGGGTTAAAATCATTCATAATTTTTTCCTATACTTTTAATGCTTGTAGGATCTGTAATGATGTTCCCTCTCTCATTCCTGATATTGGCAACTTGTGTCTTTCTTTATTTTTCTTGGTCAGCCTCACCAGAAACTTATCTATTTCATTCTCTTTTCAAAGAATCAGATTTTAGTTTATTGTTTTTCTTTCCCAATTTTCTATCCATTGATTCTTCTTTCTTATTTCTTTCTTTCTGCTTACCTGGGTTCTAATTTGCTTTTCTTTTTTTCATGTTTTTAAGGTAGAAGCTTAGAAATTGATTTGACACATTTCTTCTTTTTTAAATTGAGCCCTCCTCTGAGCCTCGGTGTGCTGTTATTTTTCCTTCTAGTTGAAGAGTCTCTCCTCAGCCAGCCTTCCTGTGGTTCTGGGTGATGTCCGTTCCGTCTTTTAGTTGTATTTTTGAAGTGGTTGTTTGCGGCAGCAGTCTCCGGTGTTTACCTATGCCGCCATCTTGGTCTCTCCCATTTCTTCTTTTTTAAAATGAGCACTTAATGCTGTAAAATTTCCTGAAAGCACTGTTTTAGCTGTTTTTCATAAATATTGATGTTGTGTTCTAGTCAGTTAAAATTCTCCCCCCCCCTTTAACCCATAGTTTTTAAATTTCCAAATATTTGTGGATCTTCCAGTTAGCTTTCTGTTATTTTTTTACTTTGTATTTTTGCTATCTTTGGCTTTTTGATGTGCTTTCTGGGAGATCACCATCTAGATGTGAGGAAAAGACACTGATCTGAGCCTACATTGTACGTAAGGAATTCACAGGCTACCTGGAGCCTATGCTGGTGGGCAGGTGCATGTGTCCACTGTGGGCTTCTCTCTCTTGGCTGGCGTGTGAGAAATGGGGCCAGCCTTGCTGCCACCACTGCAGTGTTCCAGTAGCAAGGCTGAAAATGGGAATTTGTTGGAAGTCTATATATGAGGCAGTCACATCCTCCACCCCTTCCACCACTGTGCACCTAAGGACTCTGGCGGCCAGGCATCTACCCTTACATTAGAAATGGTATCTTCTTCTAAGAAATTGAATTATCCCAGAAAAGACTCTAATGGCAGATCTAAATTCCTTGCAGGAAGAGCTGAGAGTGGATTCCTAGATCACTCTGGTAGACCTGCAAAACAGAAGTAGCCATCTTTGGTCTCCAGAACCCTTTACAAAGGCAGCTGCTTCATATATTGCATTTCCTGTTGGATATCTGTATTTAACATGTAACTTGTGGTCTATATGTGGTATGCCAATATATATGAGAATGGGAGCTTTCAGTTTTGACATATGTATAGGTGACCCACAGATAAAGAGTGAGATCGGCCCCCTGAAGGTGGAACCCTACTCATAATGTCAGAACTATCCCATTAAATGCAATCTTACTTTTAATAGACCAGTACCCTCAAATGTGAATAGCATTTTGCCTGGTGACTGGATTACAGATAAATTTCATCTCAGTGCATTTCTGTATTTTCTAAATTCTATGAACATATATTACTTTTGTGTTGAGATAAAATACTTTAAAATATTAAGGTAAAATTTGTAGAATTGTGAAATATAAACATTGAATCTAATCTAGTGAGCATGACTTAAGGTATAGGGACTGTGAAACTAATGATTTAACAACAAACTGGGTTGATCAGAATTGTCTCTGAAGGTAAACAAGAGAAAAAATTGACAGAAGCTTTTAACAATATCAGTTTGACTTCTCCATTAAAAACAATTGCTGGAGTCCAAAGGAAAGCTGTCTGGCTCTACTCCCTAGGACAGAATTCCTGAAGAAAGTTAACATTACATAGTAGTCATGGCTTTAACAGGCCACGTATATCATTGTCTCTTCTGCTTGGCCCCTCATTCACTGGTGAGGGTGTTCCTACTAGGGGAAGGGCAAGGGATTTTGAAGACTTTCCTACTTGGGTCAGTTTTAGAGAGGAAATGGGTACCTGTCTTCCCTTTACTCACTAACACACTTGTTTCTCTCTGTCTTGTCCACAGGCAGCTGGCTAAGAGTCTTGGGCAGGCTGGTGAAATTGAGCCTGAAACAGAAGGAATACTAACAGAGTATGGTGTGGATTTCTCTGATTTCTCTTCAGAAGTTTTAGAATGTCTTCCTCAAGACCTGCCCTGGACAATACCACCAGAGGAATTCAGCAAGAGAAGAGATTTAAGGTAAATACCTGAAGCTCTTTAAGAAAAACATGTTTCTACCTTTTTGCTTTCTAACTTAACTTTCCTAGGAGCTGGGCTCAGATGTTTCCATCTTCCATCCACATTCAAGTTCAGTTCAGTTGACAATTAAATGCTCTGTACCAGAGGTTGTCAGATTGTGGTCCACCAGCTAAATCTAGCCCACTGCCTGTTTATGTACAGCCCATGAGCTAAGAATGATTTTATATTTTTAAATCATTAGAAAAATCAAAACAAGAATAATCTTTTATGATTATTATGTGAAATTCAAATTTCAGCATCCATAAAGTTGCATTGGAACACAACCATGCTTGTTCAGTTACGCATTGTCTCTGGGTGTATTTTTACACTACAATAGCAGAGTTGAATAACTATAACAGAGACCTATGGCCTGCAAAGCCTAATAGATTTGTTCTCTGGCCCTTTATAGAAAAAGCGTGCTGTCCCTGCTCTAGATCATCCAGATTTCAAAGGGTCCAGTTGCCACCTTGCTTTCTCATTGCTCTGCCCCATAAGTCTGGTCGAATAAAGACAGTGTTATCTGGTTAGAAGTGCCTTCCTTTAAATGGGCCTCTTCAGGCACAGAGCAAAGGATTCAAGACTCTGTGCTTGGAGCTTCATTTTAAAGCTTTACTTTTAGGTCTGGAATTTGTTGGAAAGTACTTTTGTGGTATTTTTATAACAACATCTTCTTTGAAGATGTTTCTTCATTGTGGGATGTTAGTTCTTTTCTGATATTTCTCTTTAGAATTTGGTTTCAGTACTGGCATTCATTTTGGATGCCACATGGAGATAGTTAGAACCAAGAAACTTTTCATACAACCCACTGAGGCTGTGGAAGGTTTTTTGCTAAGGTCATCCCATGTCAGAGTCTTTTCCACCACACTTGCTCACTTCATGCAGCTGAACTTATGATACCTTTAGCTCTTGGTGCCCATTCTTCCACCTACTTTGAGAATCCTTCTTCTGTGCCCCCTTTTGCTATTGTATCTTTTAGGAATTTACTACCTTTTTTCCTTTTCTTGCTGAAATTAGGTAAGGAAAAGATGACAGTATGTCCCTTTTCCTACTTGTTAGTAGCTCTGGTGGAACACATTATTTTTGAAGTCCGTTAACTGAAGTTGCTGTCCTGGCTTTCAGCAGTAACCGCTATTCGTGGAACTCCTGCTGTCCTATTATCTCATCTCAGGAGCTTTGAGATCTTGGGCCCATAGCCTTGCTCTCTCTGAACCTTTGTTTACTCAGCTACAAATTGTGGGGATTATTTTCTGAGATTTTTTTTAAATCTAGGAATCTATAAAAAATTTTAATAGATTTTTTAATAGATAGGTCAGAATGAATGGCTGAACTTTATTGTTTGAAATATAAATTACTATAGCCATTCTGTAGCCATTTAAAACATCAACGTTTTAAAAGTACTCCACTTCTAGGAATCCTACTCAGGAAGTATAGAAGTATACATGTTCATTATTGTAAAGGTAATGCTGCCAATGACTATCAATGAAGGATGGTTAAATAACCTATGTCATGTCAGTAAGATAGCATTCCCTACAGCTGTAAAAAAGGCGCTAAATCCATATGCACTGTCCTAAAACAATGGCTGTTACAGATTGTGAAGGAAAAGAAGCAATTCAGAACAATATGAATGAGTCTATTTTTTATATAGTTAAATAATACAAAAACTCTATAAATGTATATGCCTCCATATATGTATACACATAAAAGTATATATACAGTAAAAATTCCTGGAAGGAAATCCAGACTTTTTTCTATGGTTATTGACAGTGATTGGCATGTGCAAACTCAGTAGAGTAGTAGGAGGTAGGGAGGCAATATTTTACTTTTCATTTTATAAATTTTTCTATTATTTAAATTATTTTAAAATAACTTTTATAACTATTAAAAATTATAAATTAGACTATCAGAAAAGAGAAGTGCTCAATCATTTCTAGTCTTACTCCTAGCCTATCCTATATAATAAAAGGCTAATATGCAAATTGTCCCCTCGGGAGTTTGACCGAGAGACGTGGAGTTCCATCGCTCGCTATGACATGCGCTGACCACCAGTGGGTGGCACGGAACATGGCGGGTGACCAGCAGCGTTGGTGGTGGGGCGCTGAGGGAGCAAGGGAAGGAGGAGGTGGGGAGGCGGGGAGACGGTAAACCTGATTGGCTCTGATTGCCCGGCCAGACCTAGGGACCCTACCTGTGCATGAATTTCATGCACTGGGCCTCTAGTAGATAAGTAATAAGGCACTTCAATAGTCATAGAGCCCAGTGTTGCTCTCAGTTCCCTCTCATGTCTCCAACTCGCCTTTTTCTTCGGTCCCCATTGCCTCTGGTAGACCACAGAATAGGAGGCCTTGCTCTGCCTAAAGCCTCTGTTAAAATATACCAATGTGTCCTGCAAAGGGCTTTAAAGATACAAGGGGCTTATAGAATGTTGTCTGCTGTTAGCATAGTAACAGGGATTATTTTACTTTATTTTTTAAATCACTTTAACCTCCTGTAACCCAGGTATGTGCCCTTGACTGGGAATTGAACCTGCAACACTTGGGTGGGTGGGCAATGCTCTAACTACTGAGCAATGCCAGCTAGGGCTAGATACGAGTAGGTTTATAGTTTATACACTTAGATTATTTAAGGCTCCCAAACTGTATAACAATAGAAACATTTAAAGATATCCATTTAAAAAATTTTATCTTTAACACTTGAGTTTTTTGTTTTATTTTGTTTAAAAAGAAATAACTTTTTTTCCTCATTGTTAAAATGTCAACTTTACCTTGAAGGGACAGATTAAGTGTGTTTAATTTTGTCTAAGTATCCAAACACTTTTTCTCTGCCTATTATCTCTAGGATTATGTTTCTAAAATTCAAATCTGATCTTTTTTCTTTTTTTACTCCTTTGACCTAAAATCTTTCAACTGCTTTTTGATGTTATAAAGTAGTAATCTCTAAACTTTGTTGAACATACATTCCAATAATGTATGTCTCTTTATTGTAAAATTACAAATGTACTTACTACTTTACTAATTTATTATGTGCATTGTAAATTTACATAAAAGTAGAAAAATGAGAATGAAATAAATTTTAAAATATTTTCATTGTAAAGGTATAAAAAAACTTCATATTAATAATTTTTCTTTTGATGAAAGTAATGTGATTAAATATTCTTTTTTAAAAATTTTGCTTTAACAACTTATGATATGGGTATGCAAAGGTCTAATTATAGGTTCTGTAAATTTTGGTACTTGGTTTTGCTTTTAATGGTTATCATAACTGAAAAAGATACCCGAATTTACTAAATTATAGTATTCATTTTTCATCCTATTCACTGATTATATTCAGATTCATTTTGTAATCCAGCTAATAAATTTCCATCTTTCATTGTCAGTTCTTGTGGACTAATTGAAAGGTGCTGCATTTTTTGATTAAAAAAAATGTGTTCTTAATCCTGGATTATTCTTTAGTTGGCATCTTTAAAAACTAGTTAGAAAATTCTGCTAGGATATTTAAGTGTATAGGTATAAGTAATTGGTTTTTTTTTTCTTTCTGTTTTTGTTAATTCTCACCCAAGGATATTTTTTTCATTTATTTTTGGAGAGAATGGGAGGGTAGAGAGAGAGACAGCAATGTGAGAGAGACACATCGATTGGTTGCTTCCCACATGCACCTCAGCCAGGGCTGGGGATCAAACCTGTAACCCAGGTATGTGCCCTTGACTGGGAATTGAACCTGCAATACTTGGGTGGGTGGGCAATGCTCTAACCACTGAGCAATGCCAGCTAGGGCTAGATACGAGTAGTTTTATAGTTTATACACTTAGATCAATTAAGGATCCCAAACTGTATAACAATAGAAACATTTAATGATATCCATTTTTAAAATTTTATCTTTAACACTTGAGTTTTTGTTTTATTTTGTTTAAAAAGAAATAACTTTTTTCCTCATTGTTAAAATGTCAACTTTACCTTGAAGGGACAGATTAAGTGTGCTTAATTTTGTCTAAGTATCTGCTTGGTAGCATGTGATTGACTAGTCATTGTTTTGAAATCATAATGTGACTGATTATGAATTCCTATTAGGAGAAGATAGGTCAACTCTGCTATTTTCCTGGTGTTGGTAGTATTAGTGTTATTATTAGTTTAGTGTTATCTTTAATCTGTGGATCTTTGCAATAATCATTTTTAGCCACTTTTCTATTTTGTGAAGATTAGTTTAGCTAAAATTAGATAATTTCTGTAAATACCCACTCATGGCTGAAAGCATAGAATCTAATGGGATTGCCAATGTCATCGCCTTGGTGTTCTGGAGTGCTGACTTTCATCTGTACACCTCATCACCTCACCCACACACCTTGTGAGGACACCAGGTGGTTATGTTGTCATGGTTAAGTTTTTATTTTTTTACAATAAAAAACAAAGAGAGAGAAAAAACAAAGAGAAGTCCATAGTATGCTGAAGTATTTGGATCTGATTACCTTTCCCTTTTCTTTGACTGGTTTTGTAATAGATTTATTCAGTTTTTAAACTAACAAATATTTACAGTAGAGCGGGGAATCAACAGTGAACAAATACAGGTCTGGTCTCTGTTCTCATGGAACCTCAGTCATAGCAGAAGAGCATGAGTCAAATGTGTTAAACAGGCCCTAGCCAGTTTGGCTCAGTGGAGGAGGTCCTCAAACTTTTTAAACAGGGGGCCAGTTCACTGTCCCTCAGACATTCCACACATGCGCACTGCGGGCCCGGGATGAGTCGGCTGCTAAGCAGGACAGGCAGTGGCGGCAAAAACACCTGGCGGGCCATAGTTTGAGGACCCCTGGTTAGAGTGTTGGCCCGCAGACTGTTGCAGGCTCAATCTGCGCCCACAGGAGGCAACCAATCGATGTGTATCTCTCCATTGATGTTTCTCTCTCTGTATCTCTCCCTCCCTTCTACTCTCTCTAAAAATCAATGGAAAAATTATACTCAGGTGAGGATTAA